TTTTTGAAAGCCTATACAAGGCGTGGATTTTTAAAGTACATTTTTGAAAGTCTATACAAGGCGTGGATTTTTTAAAGTACATTTTTGAAAGTCTATACAAGGCGTGGATTTTTTAAAGTACATTTTTGAAAGTCTATACAAGGCGTGGATTTTTTAAAGTACATTTTTGAAAGTCTATACAAGGCGTGGATTTTTTAAAGTACATTTTTGAAAGTATATACAAGGCGTGGATTTTTTAAAGTACATTTTTGAAAGTCTATACAAGGCGTGGAATTTTTAAAGTACATTTTTGAAAGTCTATACAAGGCGTGGATTTTTTAAAGTACATTTTTGAAAGTCTATACAAGGCGTGGATTTTTTAAAGTACATTTTTGAAAGTCTATACAAAGCGTGGATTTTTTAAAGTACATTTTTGAAAGTCTATACAAGGCGTGGATTTTTTAAAGTACATTTTTGAAAGTCTATACAAGGCGTGGATTTTTTAAAGTACATTTTTGAAAGTCTATACAAGGCGTGGATTTTTTAAAGTACATTTTTGAAAGTCTATACAAGGCGTGGATTTTTTAAAGTAGATTTTTGAAAGTCTATACAAGGCGTGGATTTTTTAAAGTGTTTTTCAAAGTCTACACAAAGCGTGGATTTTTTAAACAAGTGTTTTTCAAGGTCCACACAAAGCGTGGATTTTTTAAACAAGTGTTTTTCAAGGTCCACACAAAGCGTGGATTTTTTAAAGAAGAGTTTTTAAGGTCTACACAAAGCGTGGATTTTAAAGAAGAGTTTTTAAGGTCTACACAAAGCGTGGATTTTTAAGAAGAGTTTTTAGGGTCTACACAAAGCGTGGATTTTTAAAGAATTGTTTTTCAAGGTCTAATAATATAATTGTTAAGGCTATTAGAAAAGCTTGAATTTTTAAAAGAATAATTTGAAGGCTATTAGAAAAGCGTAGATTTTTTAAAGAATAATTTGAAGGCTATTAGAAAAACGTGGATATTCTCTGCGATATTTTTCAAAGACCCAACGAAGTGCCGATTTTTTAAAGAAGATTTTTTATGCTATTAGAAAAGACTGTATATTTTTTAAGGCTATTAAAAAAACGTTGATATTATAAAAGATATTTTCTGAATGTCCCGCAGAAGTGTCGTTTTTTTAGAGAACAGTTTTTAAGACTATTATAAAAGCATTGACATTACAATAGATATGTTTTTTCAAGATACCACAGAAGTTTCGATTTTTTAAATAATATTTTTCAAGGTTATTAAAAAGGCTTGAATTTTATAAGAGATATTTCTCAGGGTTGCACAAAAGTGTGGGTTTTTTTATAAAATATTTTTTCACATTATTAGAAAATGTTAGATATTTTATAATAGGATCCTAAGAATTATGAATTTTTTAACGAATATTTTTAAGGCTATATGAAAAGCGTGGATATTATAAGAGATGTTTTTTTTTTATTTCCACAGAAGTGTCATTCTTTTTGCAAAGATTCCATAAATGTGTCGATTTTTTAAAGAATGCTATTACCGGAGGGAAATATTTTTCCAGATCCCACAGAATCATTGCTTTTCTTGGCAAAAGATTTCCTTTTTCCCACAAAAACGTTGATCTCTTCAAATCTATATTTTCAATGCCATTAATGAAACCTGGACATTTTAATTTTGTTTTTGGGATCCATATGAAATGGTGATTATGTAGTGTTCATAAAGAGTATATAATGCATCTTGGCATAATTTTATAGGGTCATATGTTTCTGAATTGTTTATAATTTTAATTTTGACAAAATCGATCTTTCTGAATTTGAATGGAATTACATTTTTTCGGAATGTACTTACATCATGTGTTCAGTTTTTTATATTTTAAACTCACTGCCTCTATAATCTCTAAATATAAGTTGTAATACCAATAGGTAGGGGAGAGGGGGGCACCTTTGAACACTTTTTGCTTTCAAGCCTTATAAAATTTTTTATTTTATCATTTTTGGTTTCTTATAAATTTTAACTAATAGGTACATATGTAACCTTTAAAATGAATATACATATGACATACTATAAGCTTGATAAATATATTTTATAACTGTTTTAATGGACGAACTCAAAGTGTTCAAAACTGCCCCCCCAGGGGGGCACCTTTGAACAGGGGTTGGCATTTTTGAACGACATGGTTTTTTACAGTGTTTATGTTCAAATATGTATGTATTTTATTCATACATATCAGAAATGCATTAATTCATTAAAAAATATATAAAAAATATTTAAAATTTAAAAAATTTAGATCAAAAATTATTAAAACATAAAATGTCTTAAAAATACAAATTAATATGGTGAAAAATACAGTTAATTTCGTAATCTTATTAGCCCATTTGAAATTTTGAGAAATCCAAGCCAAAAGTTAAAAACTCCTTTTTTTACTCGAGTTTAATGGGCATGTTCAAAGGTGCCCCACCCATGGCATTTTACGGAAATTTAAAATAACTTTTTTTGTAATAAATATATATGAAAGAAATTACATTAGTTATGTTTGAAATGATTGTTGGAATGCAAAAAATTTGTTTGACGAAAGAAAACTATCACAGAATTCTTCCTGCGCCCTTACAACCAAATGAATAAAAGTTTACAATGACACTGAGAAAACATGGTCACCCATGCACAATTTTTCGACAACTGAAAAAGCAAGCCAAAGTGGTTTACGCATATAGAGAACAAGATTGCCATATACAAAAATGTGGTTGCGGGTCGGAAAAATATTAAACCAAGATTTTATGAGCGCTGTTCAAAGGTGCCCCACGTTCAAAGGTGCCCCCCTCTCCCCTATATCTTGAGAACAATGAACATCAAACAATTAAGATATTCACTATATAGACTTTTATTGACCACAAGTCCTGATTAATATATATGTTTGTCTGTATAAAGATTTGTCCATCATAAAATACATAAAAGCTTTAGAAAATATATATTATTTTTTAAAATGTGGCATCGACGTATTTTTATGGAATTTATTTTTTATTTTATTTCCAATTTATATATGGTAAATTAAAAATAGTATATGCAGTGTGTGTGTATAACATCAGAATTATGTTATCCTAATTGATGTGTTGGGATAACTCTGACATTTTCTAACTCCCTATCATTTTTAAATACTTTGTAAAAACAGCCCTACCCTATTTTACTTATTCACTTTAACTGAACATGCCTTTTATTTTTGTACCATGTGAACACAGCTGTTTTCTGTTGTAAGAACATAAAAAGTTCGCACTGAACATACCTCAAAGCAAAGTAACCATTCATGAATGCATTTGTGACTAATATAGGCAGTTAACTGTTAGTTATCACTGAACATACTCACCATAGTAATTACGGTATTTTTGGCAGATAATATTTACTGCACAGTTCTGTGTGAGTCATGATGTTTATAATTACAACAACGATTCAATATCGACAATCTTTTTCACTAAACGATCCCATTTCTTTTCTCAAATGGAACTCTTTAAATTTGCTTTCAACATTATTTTTCTATGGGACTGATTTAAACAATTGTTCTTGAGCACTGAACATACTCCCCATAGAACATTGTTAACAGTTCGGTGAACGGCATTTTAATAGAGGATACTTTGTAGTTTGACGTTTGTGATAACAAATCTCTTCACTGAACAATCCTTTACCTTTTACCATTATTTTTCTATATGACTAATTTAAACTCTTGTTAGTTAGCACTGAACATACCCCCCTTGTACGTTGATCGTGTTTGACAGACAGTTCTGTGAGCCGCATTTTAATAGATAATACTTTATGATTGGCCAAGTTTCAACTTTCTAAAACCAAAAAAAAAAAAAAATACTTTATGATGACAAATCTCGTCACTGAACGACCCCATCAGTTCGTTTCTCAAAAGGAACACTTTAAATTTACTTTCATCAGTTAAATTGTTCTATTGAGCACTTCTATAAACACTATTTTATCCATTTATTCGTTTTTCTATCTTGTTGCTGCAGATAGAAGAATTATTTGGCCACAAAACGCCACACAAAATCTATAAACACTTTAATTAACTGACAACTCTATTGTTGACGGCGTTAACCTCACATGGCTTTGATGTCACACACTCAGAGTCTAAACGCAACCAGAGAGTCACGAGTCAGCGTCATACGTTTTCGCCGGCGTGAAAACCAAACGGAAGAGTTGGCGTTAGCGGCACAAAATGTCAATTATTTGTTTTGATTTTCTGACAGAAAATTTTACGTTGCGCAAACCAAAATCAATTTATTATTTAATAAACAATAATGTTAAGGAATTTGGATAAAATTATTGAAAAAAATTATTTTTCTTCCATTTTATTAATAATTCATTAAAAAACATCCACAATCTTTGAAAATATTTGTTTTTTTAACAGTACTGCCATATGTTTTGATATAAATTCTCATTGAAATTTGGTAGCACTGTTGATTTTTACCTAAAATATGGCAACTCAATTGAGAGCAAGAGAGAAATTTTGAGTATGACGCTGAGCAAAAATGAATAAAATCTATTCTAGCGGCGTGCCGCTAGACGCGAACGTCAGCCGTCGCGATTTCCCGTTGCCTATAAGAAACACACGGCAAACGACTGTCGCTGACTCTAGACTCTATGGTTGCGTTTAGACTCTCACAACAGCTGTTTACTTCCTTCCCCATTTCAATCTAACCACCTATTTTGCTTTCTTCACATTCGTAAACACAAAAACAAGACTATATTTTTTGCTTTGCAATCAGCTTTATCACCCATTACTTCTTCGCCTGCATATTCGTAACGTTTGGAACGCTTTTATACATGGCCGGTTCACTGAGAAACCCAAGTAAATCTTGCTCAGTCTGAACGGATCGAAACGTTCTTTCGTGCACATGCCACGACCGGAACGTTGAAGAAAAAGTTAGAAAATTATTAAATAAAACTAGAATAAAAGACGAAACGAAATATACGAACATAGCCAAAGGATTAATAATAACAACAAAAAACCAAACCAAGAACAAAATGAAACAGGAATTGAGTGATAAACGTGATTTACGGCCATTCGTTTATGGTGGACTAGCATCTATTATTGCGGAATTTGGTAAGTGAATATCTAATATCTGTGTGTGTTCTTAACAAATATATGTAAACGAAAATCATTGCATTTATAGAATAAATTAAAAAAGAATCTGCATGACGCAACATCCTGGGAAATAATGGTAATTATTTTTTTATGGAAGTAACTGATGCAGACAATATGGAGATGTCTCCTAGTAGTGTAGGCCTTCTTGTGTAATTCCCATGCCAATATCGGGGAGGAGTAGAAGAAATCCGAATGTAAACACACGGATTTGTTGTTGCCATTGATTGGGGGGTTTAATGTTCAAATTCATAATAACTAAAGATGGAGGTGGCGGCGGGGAGCAGAATATTTTTGCAATCATTCCGGCAGCCAACCCACTAGCCAGCCATGTGAATGTCGTCGTCGTCGTCTCGTGTTTGTTCTTATCACTTGATTGTTGTTTTTTTGTCGTCCGAAAAAAACATACATATTTGTTGTCATGATTTATTACAAAGCGGCAGCGGCAACGGCGGGCATTATTGTCTTTGTTTGCATTTTCAATTAATGTACCCACGTAGATACACCATCACTTAGGTGGAATTTGTTTACATATACTCCAAACGATTGTAAAATTCCGGCAAATTAGGTATATAGTACGTTTTATCTATTTTTCGTGAAAGTAATTTTTTATATAATAATTTATTTGTTGTTGCATAGAAATGAAATTGATGTTTTCTGTTTTCTTGTTTCTCTTCTAATTTTTAGGCACCTTTCCAATTGACACAACAAAAACCCGCCTACAAATCCAAGGTCAGAAACATGATAAAACATTTTCCCAGCTACGTTATCGCGGCATGACAGATGCCATGATTAAAATCAGTCGCGAGGAGGGTTTAAAGGCATTATATTCAGGGTAAGTAGTAAATTTAGAAAAAATAGCAATTTTAAATACTATACGAAGTTAATGTATTTTAGATAGATGTAGTACTAAGAATATATAGTACTCCGAGTCCTAGGTCTTCATATTATTATGCCCGTGAATTTTACATACTTGTCCATATATATTTTATATATCTATTTTCAACACTAGAATCGCGTATAGAATCTATAGGTTATTTTTTTCCAAGGCCTAATAAGACGTGAATTTTTTAAAAACATTATTTTTTGAATCCCAATAAGGCGGGGATTTTGAAAATAATACTTTTTGAAAACACCAACAAGGATAAGATTTTTAAAAGAATAATTTTTGAAATGCACAGCATGGAGAGGATTTCAAAGAAGTACTTTATGAAAGGCCCAATAAGGCGTGGATTTTTAAAAGAATACTCTTTGAAGGTTCAACAAGTCGTTAATTTTTAAAAGAATACTTTTTCAAAGGCCCAACAAGGTGTGGATTTTTGAAAGAATACTTTTTGAAAGGCCCAACAAGGCGTGGATTTTTAAACGAATATTTTTTGAAAGGCTAAACAAAGTGTGGACTTAAAAAAAATATTTTTTTCGGATTGCTTTTGGAATATATTTTGTGGAAGACTATAAGAGAGAGGAAATCGCGACTTTTTAAAAAACATTTTTTAAGGAATCACAGAATTGTAGGTGATAATTTTTTTTGAAAACAATTTTATGAAAGTATTATTTTCGAATATCGTTTTATAGAAATAATTAACCCGAATAGTGCTGTAATTATTTTTTTCGAATTGTGGGACGAAACTTTCAGCGTCTCTAGGTTATGGGCTACTGAATTTAAAAACTTTATTTGTATCCTTTTTTCTTATCAGGAAAATCGACAGGATCAATGTGGCCGTATGTTCACACTAGCACTGCTCGGGTATAGGTTTTTTAGACGATTTATTGATCGTATTATGACCATATGGTCACGCTAGCACAGCTCGGTTTAACCAAGATCCCACCATATTAAAATATTGAGGCGAATATAATGTCGTATATTTGAAAAAAAAAACACCTCGGAATATTCACCGAAGACCGCATAATTTATACATTCCAGATCAGAATAAAATTCTGCGTCGATTTGGACATGCCGTATGTCTACGAAAATCTCGATAGAGAACCCAATGATTAAGATAGAGCTATAAAAAATGATAGATGCCCACTGTGACCATCTAAGTGACGATACATTCCCACTGTGACCCTCTACATGACAATAAAAGCCCACTGTGTCCATCCATATGACGATAGAGACCCACTGTGTTCATCAATATGACGATAGAGGCCCACTGTGCCCTTCTATATTACTATAAATTCCCACTGTGACTCTCTACATGACCATAGAGGCCCACTATGGCCATCTATATGACGATAGAGACCCACTGGTCACATCCATATGAAGATAGAGGCCCACTGTGACCCTTTACATGACAATAAAAGCCCACTGTGCCCATCTAAGTGACGATAGATTCTTACTGTGATCCTCTACATGACAATAAAAGTCCACTGTGTCCATCCATATGACGATAGAGACCCACTGTGTTCATCAATATGACTATAGAGGCCTTCTATGTAACTATAGATTCCCACTGCGACCCTCTACATGACAAAAGAGATCCACTGTGACCATCCATATGACGATAGGTACCCACTGTGGTCATCAATATGACAATAGAGACCCTCTATATGACAATAAAAGTCCACTGTGTCCCTCTATGTGACAATAGAGATCCACTGTGGTCCTCAATATGACAAAAAAGGTTCACTGTGACGATTTAATATGATGATAGATGCCCACTGTGACCATCTGAAAGAAGATGAATGCCCAGCCCGCCATAGAAATGACGATAGAGGCCCACCGTGCCCATCCATATGATGATAAAGACCCACTGTGACCCCCTATATGATAATAAAAGTCCACTGTGTCCTTTTATATGGCAATAGAGGTCCACTATGTCCCCCCTATGACAATATAGGCTCACTGTGCAATAAAGGTCCACTTTTAAGAATTAATATGAGAACTGAGGCTCACTGTGGCCATTTCTATAAACAACGAAGGCCCATTGTGTACACATATGACAATAGGCGATATATGCGATATATGCCTACTCTGGCCATTGTAATTAAGATATATTTTGCACATCCTTTGCCAGCACACCTACGATGTTTGGTAATGAATATTAGATATATCGGTCCAAATTTTGGTATAGTCTCCATATAACGTTACCTCAAAATATTCGTAATTTTTGGGGTCTTAGGTAACGTTTTTTAACCGAATTGGCTGTAATTTATTATTTAAGGTTGTTATTGCGTAGCAAATCTCCCTACCAAAAATTATCAATATTGGCTATTTTCTAGGGTAGCCCCCATATAACGGTATCTCCCAAATATCGGTATTTTGGGGAGTTGGAATTGGCTGTAAATTTGGGGTTTGAGTTCTCTTTTGGCAGTAAATCTTTCTACCCAAAATTATGAAAATTGGTCCACTTTTTAGGGTAACCCACATATAACCTAACCTCAAAAATATCGCTTTTTTGGAATTTTCGTCACGTTTTCCAACTAAATTGGCAGTAAATTGATATGTTGGATTCCCGTTGGTTAGAAAATCTCCCTAACAAAAATTATCAATATTGGTCCACATTTTAGGGTAGTCTCCCATATAACCGAACCGTACAAATTTCGATATTTTGGGGATTTGGATCACTTTTTTCAACTAAATTGGCTGAAATTTGGTGTTTTGGGTTCTCATTAGGTATTGAATCTTCCTACCAAAAATGTTAAATATTGGTCCACTTTGGAGGGTAACCTCCATATAACCCTGTCTCCCAAATATCGATATTTTGGGAATTTGGATCACTTTTTTTAACTGAATTAGCTCTAATTTGGTATTTGGAATTGTCATTGGGTAGTAAATCTTCCTACCAAAAATTATGAAAATTTATCCACTTTTTGGGGTACCTCCCATTTTAACCGAACCTCACAAATTTCGATATTTTGAAGATATGTATCACTTTTTTCAACTAAATTGGCTGTAATTTGGTGTTTTGAATCCTCAATGGATAGTATATATTTCTAACAAAAATTATGGAAATTGGTCCACTTTTTAGTGTAGCCCCCATATAAAGGTTCTACCCAGATTTCCGTAATATTAGATTTTTTTAAATCATATCCGGATTTTTTTGCCTCGATTTGGTTGATCATATGTATTTGCAATTTTTATATATTTATAGAACAATAACTATAGCCCCAGCTAATTACCACTATTAAAAACAATAGCCAAATATTTCAAAACACACTTCTAGGTACTGCCAAACAAACGATAAACATCGAAAGTCCATTGCGGCCGGGTCGGCTAATCTCTAAAAGTCAATTCATTGATAAAAAACATTTAAAACCAAATATTTAATAAACATTAGCGGCGTATTAAGAATTGATGCTTAGTCATGCTGGTGATTTGTCACGTCGTCCGCAACCCACAACAAGTCCATAAGTCAATGTCATTTAAATGCAAAACCAAAACAAACAAAAACGAAATATCGGTCAAGTGCAATTTTGGAAAATCAAATCTTAGAATTTAGGGAAGAGAAAGGGGACAGGTTGAAATGGTGTGATAGCCATACAAATAATTGAAAATTGCATGATTTTTATAAACAAAATATTGTTGTTGTCTTATGAAAAATATAGTTTATATTTTGTTGTTGTTGCTTCGTTTTGCATGAGCGAACGATAAGCACAGTGTGGTGGTGGCTGCTGCCACCGGCCCAATGTGTGTGACGTGAATCCCGGTTGCTGGCTGGCAGGCTGGCTGATGTAAACAATATTCAATAAACGGTGTGATGCACATGTTTACAATAATCTAGAATTGTTTGGGTATCGAGACAATTTTGTTGTTGTTTTATTATATTTTTTTTTGTTATTATTTATTATAAAGTTGTTTACATACAGGGTATAATGATGCGGTTATTTTCCCCATTAAAACGACCCCCCACATTGCGGTATTGGAAATTAACTTGAGATGTAAAAAAAATAAATGCACCCTAAGTGATGCAAATAAATTTGATTTCAATTCAAAAACATAATTTAAAATAAATTTATAATTAATTTTTTTCTTCTCTTCCAGAATTTGGCCCGCCGTACTGAGACAAGCAACATATGGCACCATCAAATTCGGTACCTATTATACCCTGAAAAGTGTGGCAAGTGAACATGGTCTCCTTGTAGATCCCGACACGGGGACAGAACGTGTTTGGGGTAATATTTTATGTGCTGCTGCATCGGGAGCCATTTCCTCTGCCATTGCTAATCCCACAGATGTGTTGAAAGTGCGAATGCAGGTACATGGGAAGGGTACACAACAACAGAGTCTTTGGGCATGTTTTTATGATATATACAAATATGAAGGTGTCCGAGGCCTTTGGCGTGGTGTGTGCCCTACGGCTCAGAGAGCGGTGGCTATTGCTTCGGTGGAACTGCCGGTGTATGATTTTTGTAAGCTGCAGTTGATGGGAATGTTTGGTGATCATGTGGCCAATCATTTTGTGTAAGTATAATAATGATAATAAAGGCCCACTATGGTAATCCATCTATATTGCCATAGATGCCCACTGTGGCAACTAATATGACGATAGAGGCCACTGTGACCAATCCGTATGACGATAAAGGTCCACTGTGACGATTTATATGACGATATATGCCCATTGTGGCCCTCTATATGACATTAGAGGCCCACTGTGCCCCTATATAAGAGAATGAAAGCCCACTGTGGCCATTTATATGATGATATATGCCCACTGCGGACATCAATATGACGATAGAGGCCCACTGTGACCATCAATATGACGATAGAAGCCCACTGTGGTCTCCTATTTGAGAATGGAGGCCCACTGTGAACATTTATATGACAATATATGCCCACTGTGCCCTTCTATATAAAAATAGGTGCTCACTGTGACCATCTATATGACAATAGGTGCCCACTGTGGCCCTCTATAAGACAATTGAGGCCCACTGCGGACCTCTACATGACAATAGAAATCCACTGTGGACCTCTATGTGACAATTGGGGCCCACTGTGTTTTTGTTCCAGAGCTAATTTTTGTTATTGTTCCTGTTTTGTTATTTCAGTTCCAGCTTCATCGCCAGTTTGGGCAGTGCCATAGCCTCCACACCCATTGATGTTGTACGAACCCGCCTTATGAATCAGAAACCCGTAACTGTGGTCAATGGCATGGTAACGGCGGCGACATCACAAAAAATCTACACCGGGAGCATAGATTGTGCACTGCAGGTAAATGATTTTGACTCTAATAATTTTTTTCCTCTTCACTAATTTTATTTTTTTTTTTGTCCAGACCGTTCGCAATGAAGGCTTTTTGGCATTGTACAAAGGTTTCATACCCACTTGGGTGCGGATGGGCCCATGGAATGTTATATTCTTTATAACCTATGAACAATTGAAAAAATATTGAAATCCATGTTTCACAAACAAAATTGACATTGGTACAAAATTGAAGAGAAAGGCAGTAAAGCAAGGCTACATTTTATTTGTAGTTAAGGGTCCAGAGTGAATGTCTTCTCAGCGATAACACCTACACCCACACACACACAAACAAACACCTTGAAAGAAAAACAACCAAATAATTAATTTCGTATTTTTTTGTTCATTTAGAATTATTTATAAGTAGACTTTAATGATGAAAACTAAATTGGTTTTTAATTAATTTAAAAAAAATAGTTTAAAGAAAAAGTTACATACTTTTAAAATTAACACCTTCTAACCTAGTAACTATTGAATAACTTTATCTAAAGTTTTTTGTTTCACTATAAGTATTATCATTAAATTTTCATTTCATAACTGTTTTTTCTTTCTTTCGAAGATCTATTTTCTCCACATTACCCACTTTTAAAGTATTTTTTGCTTGTATTTTTCTTCACGGTAATTTCGATGCATTTCTATTGGCATTGCACACAAACACACAGAAATGAACAAACATTTATTTGGCGGCATTTTTTCACCACAGAAGACATTTAAGTTAAATAAATTAATAATTTTTAGTTTTGTTTTTTTCTGATCATAGTTTATTTTATTAAATAAAATTTTAATAAAACGTAAATAATACATATTTGTACAGTATGTATATATATTTAAATTACTCTATATATATGCAAAATAAATTGAAATCTCCTGTTATGTGTTAAGACGATATAAATTAAAAAAACTAAACAAAAAAAAAAAAAAAAACAAATAAAAAATAAAATATATTTTAAAGTAAAATGTATTTTTATATTATTTTTAAATACTAGAGAAGCCTACTAGGCCTTCTAACTGACGACAGGATCCCACTGTGGTCATCTATAGGACTATAGATGCCCTATGTGGACATCAATATTGCGATAGAGGCCCACTGTGGTCATTTATATTACGATAGAATCACATTGTGTCCATTTATATTACGATAGAGGCCCACTGTGGTCACCTGTAATGCGATAGATGCCCACTGTGGCCATCTACACGACGATAGATGCCCACTGTGGCCATCTATATGACGATAGATGTCCACTGTGGCCATCTATATGACGATAGATGCCCACTGTGGCCATCTATATGACGATAGATGCCCACTGTGGCCATCTATATGACGATAGATGCCCACTGTGGCCATCTATATGACGATAGATGCCCACTGTGGCCATCTATATGACGATAGATGCCCACTGTGGCCATCTATATGACGATAGATGCCCACTGTGGCCATCTATATGACGATAGATGCCCACTGTGGCCATATATATGATTATAGATGCCCACTGTGGCCATATATATGATTATAGATGCCCACTGTGGCAATCTATATGACGATTGATGCCCACTGTGGTCATCTATGTGACGATAGATGCCCACTGTGTTAATCTATATGACGATAGATGTCCACTGTGGCCATTCATGACGATAGATGCGTACTGTGGTCATCAATATGACGATAGATGCCACAGAAGGACGATAGATGCCCACTGTTGCCATCTGTATTGCGATAGATGCCCACTGTGGCCATCTGTATTGCGATAGATGCCCATTGCGGGCATCTATTATGCGATAGATGCCCACTGCGACCATCTGTATTGCGATAGATGCCCATTGTGGGCATCTATTATGCGATAGATGCCCACTGTGGCCAGCTGTATTGCGATAGATGCCCACTACATTGGGATAGATGCCCACTGTGGCCATCTGTATTGAGATAGATGCCCACTTTGGCCATCTGTATTGAGATAGATGCCCACTGTGGCCATCGACATTGGGATAGATGCCCACTGTGGCCATCTACATTGTGATAGATGCCCACTGTGGCCATCTGTATTGATATAGATGCCCACTGTGGCCTTCTATATTACGATAGATGCCCATTGTGGCCATCTATATTACGATAGATGCCCACTGTGGCCATCTATATTACGATAGATGCCCACTGTGGCCATCTATATTACGATAGATGCCCACTGTGGCCATCTATATGACGATAGATGCCCACTGTGGCCATCTATATGACGATAGATGCCCACTGTGGCCATCTATATGATGATAGATACCCATTGTGGCAATCTATATTGCGATAGATGCCCACTGTGGTCATCTATAATGCGATAGATGTCCACTGTGGCCATTTGCATGACGATAGATGCCCACTGTGGCCATCTATATTACCCACTGTGGCCTTCTATATTACGATAGATGCCCATTGTGGCCATCTATATTGCGATAGAGGCCCACTATGGTCATCAATATTGCATAGCGGTCCACTGTTGTTATCTATATTACCTTTGAGGTCCACTGTGTTCATAATTTTTATAAAATATGCCCTTTTACTAAAATAACCCATTTTGTTTTATTTCCGCCCCAAAGTATGCTACACTTTTTATACATTAAACCATATCAATACCAAAGCAGCTCCATAGCTCCCTAAATAAAAAAAATCATGCCTTTCATTAAGCAATTCTTTCAAGTTTGCCAAGTTTACCCCCCACCAAGCCCCCAAAAGGGTGGCCTTTTTCATAATGAACTGTCAACAAGTCATTTTGTTCGCAGATTAATCTTTGAAATCGAACACTTAACGATCTGGATCTGATAATGATCTGAACCCTAAAAAACAATATCATTTAAACTCAATTAGTCTTTGGGTCGACTGACACCTTTGGTTTATTCGCCAAACATAACCCAATAGCTGGACAAAAAAAAAAAAGAAAAAAAATGATAATGATAAGCATTCCATGATAATTATCTATCATTAAGACAGAGCAAAAAAAAAATCGCAAATGAATAGTGAATAGAATAGCCAAAACAAATAATTCATTACATTTCAAGTGTGTGCCTTTGTTGTTATTGTTTATTTGCCGTTAACAAAATTTTGCCGCCGGTCGGTCAGTCAGTCAATCGGTTTGCATTGTGTTTTCACCAAATCAATGTGATTAATAATATTTTCTTCTCCTTCCTTCCCGAACTATCTTCCGAAAAGGGAAGAGAGATAATTGAGGTTGTCAAATTTTGGAATGAATGGCTTCTGTTCCCACACAGTATGGACTATATAGAGTAGAAAGATAATCATAATTGATGTATATTTTTTTTTAAATTTTTAATAATTAAATAAAACCAGATTTTTCTGGTTAAAACTTGTCGATTCTCCATGTATTAATTTTTGAGGTTTTACTGTCTTTATTTTATTTTGTTTGCAAACTTCATTTAAATTTTCCATTTCTCACACAAATTAATTATATATGTCTGGCAATGAATTGAAAGCAAAAACAATAAACAATTTTAAATGCATAATTAATATTTAAAAAAAAAATAACTTTTTCTCTTATCATTATTGAATGTAATTAATTGTGGCTTTAATTTCTCATACATCAATCAGCATCAAAAGTCAATAGAATATTTCGATGTAAAAAAATATTTTAAATATTAAATATTTAAAAAGGCCCAACAAAAAGTAAAAGGTGAATGAAAGGGGAATGCCGCTTAATCTGCTACACGTGATTGGGATTAATCGGGGCACAGACATTTGAATACATGGAGGTTGGGGTGAAATTCTTTTTTGCTATTCTAAATGATACTTAATTCCCACTGTGGCCATCAATATGACGATAGATGCCCACTGTGGCCATCAATATGACGATAGATGCCCACTGTGGCCATTTTTAAGGAGATAGATGTCCACTGTGGTCAATTTTAAGGAGACAGATGCCCCCCGTGGCCATTTTTATTATGATATATGCCCACCGTGGCCATTCATATGACGATAGATGCCCACTGTGACCATCCATATGACGATAGATATCCACTGTGACGATATATATTTCGATTGATGCCCACTGTGGTCATATTTAATGTGAAAAATGCCCACTGTGGTCACCTATATGACGATAGATGCCCACTGTGGCCATCTATATGACGATAGATGCCCACTGTGGCCATCTATATGACGATAGATGCCCATTGTTGCCATCTATATTACGATAGATGCCCACTGTGGCCATCTATATGACGATATATGCCCACTGTGGTCATCTATAATGCGATAGATGCCCACTGTGGTCATCTATAATGCGATAGATGCCCACTGTGGTCATCTATAATGCGATAGATGCCCACTGTGGTCATCTATAATGCGATAGATGCCCACTGTGGTCATCTATAATGCGATAGATGCCCACTGTGGTCATCTATATTACGATAGATGCCCACTGTGGTCATCTATATTACGATAGATGCCCACTGTGGTCATCTATATTACGATAGATGCCCACTGTGGTCATCTATATTGCGATAGATGCCCACTGTGGTCATCTATATTACGATAGATGCCCACTGTGGTCATCTATATTACGATAGATGCCCACTGTGGCCATCTATATTACGATAGATGCCCACTGTGGTCATCTATATTACGATAGATGCCCATTGTGGCCATCTATATTACGATAGATGCCCACTGTGGCCATCTATATTACGATAGATGCCCACTGTGGTCATCTATATTACGATAGATGCCCACTGTGGTCATCTATATTACGATAGATGCCCACTGTGGCCATCTATATGACGATAGATGCCCACTGTGGCCATCTATATGTGGCCATCTATATGACGATAGATGCCCACTGTGGTCATCTATATTACGATAGATGCCCACTGTGGTCATCTATATTACGATAGATGCCCACTGTGGTCATCTATATTACGATAGATGCCCACTGTGGTCATCTATATTACGATAGATGCCCACTGTGGTCATCTATATTACGATAGATGCCCACTGTGGTCATCTATATTACGATAGATGCCCACTGTGGTCATCTATATGCCCACTGTGGCCATCTATAATGCGATAGATGCCCACTGTGGCCATCTATATGACGATAGATGCCCACTGTGGTCATCTATAATGCGATAGGTGCCCACTGTGGTCATCAATAA